TACTTTGTCATTCGTGGGCGAAGGCAAGGGTGTTCAAAGGGTGCTGCCTCGAGAGGGGAGCGAGATCAGCCCTAGGTGAAAGGCCACCCTGTCAGCCCCAGGATCCCCCCCCCAATGCCTTTCCAGTGGGGCTTGCTGGCGGCACGTGGTCTCCGCCCACGCCGCCGTCAGTATCCGCTGAAGCCTCGCGAGGACCCTGGGCAGGGGTCTGGCTCTGTGAATTCTAATTGCCTTCACCTTCCAGTTTCCCATGAGCTCAGCCGCCGGCCCTAGCCAGGGGTCCCCTCCCTGCACGGCGGCCAGGAAATCCTCCTCAGGCGGTAAACTCGGCCAATGGTAGGGCTACCTCGCTTGTCTGTCCCTCTCAGGAATCGCCGTCCTCCGACCCCTGTGGTCCTACATCTGAAAACCACCGTATCGACTCTTCTTTCCAGTTCCGTAGGTGTTGGAGGTACACAGTCCCCAAGTCTCTGTCTTGTCTGGAAGCACAGATGACATCATCGCATTTTGTTTTGAAAGGACGAGGGCGGGCTTGGGCAGAAGTAGGAAGAGCAGAGAGGGAAGGTACTGTGGGAATCCGGGTGAGAGCCCATGGCAGCGCGCTCCCGGATTACGCGGAGGACGGGGGTAACGGGTGATTGAGTTCAGGACGTATTTGGAACATAGCGCTGATGAGCTTTGCTGATCGAACGGTTTCAGGTGTGAGAGGAAAGAGGCAGGCATAGTAGACTTCTACCCTTGCTGGCCTGAACACATTCATACATAGCCCCAATGCCGGAAACTCTTCTGAAGGCAGGAGTGCTTGGGTAAACCATGTTCAGAGCATTTGAGATCAGTAATATGAAGTGGGCATGGGTAGGGTCATTCCTGAGGTATGAGCCAAAGCTCCTCTCCTCCCTTACCGCCAGAGAGCTTGTGCCCCGGACCAGCCAGCTGGAGGAACCAGCCAAGCAAAGCCCGGGGTGCTCATATACACCACGTGGTGTGTGTCCTGTGCTTTTCCTCTTCGAGGTTGCCCTTGTTCATTTGAAGCCAATTTCACCTGTTTCTAAATATTAACCTGGGGCAGGGGACCCCAGGGAAGGGGGTGCAATGGCATTTAGTGGTACCAGGATCATTACCAAGGTCAGCGGTCCAGGGAGGGCCCTGGCAATGACTCCAGTATTCAAGGGCCCGCTTTCCAGCTTCTCCAGAGAAGGGGTCAGCGCTAATATACTTGAATACCTGGAAACATGCCACACATTCTTCGACGTTTTCCATGTGTGATCCTACCTAGGCAGGTAACATTTTAGAAAAGGAGACTGGGGCTCAGGGAAGTAAAGGCACTTGTCCCAGTTATAGCTGGCAAGTAATCAAACCGGAACCTAACTCCCAATAAGCCAAAGATGGAAAGCCCAAGCCATTTCTATTAAACATAATTTTTTATTTCATCCCAGGCAAAGCTAAATAAAATTCTACAATGCCAAACGTGTTATAAAGGCAAGATAGTTGATCACATCCATTCTGTGCTTGAACACAGGTCATTGCTGGGGGTGTGCATATCTGTGCCTCCCAGAGGCACCCATGGACCAGAGGCCTCCCAGCCCCATTGCTGCATTGTTTCGATCTATAGTTACATTAAAAAAAAAAATGACTATGGGTATTGTCATCCAAGCCAGAGGAATAAACCATGCATAAGATAGTCAAAAGCTCTGAATATCAGGTGGGAGGGGGGAGGGGAGGGACTCCAACCTGGGACACAGTAAGGTGAAGCAAAGCTGTAGGGTTTTCTCGAGACATTCCCCTCCCGGCCCACCCCCACCAGCACTCCTGGTAGTTGTCCATCACAGTGGGAGGGAGTCATGGAGTCACGGAACCGAAGAGCATGGCTGTTCTTTCCCTCAGTCTCTTATCCTTTCTCAGGCTCCTGGTGTCCCAATAGGTATTGCTAAGGCCAGGGAAGATGGCTCCCCAAATGTGCCAAGTCTCCCCCATCTCGGGCACACATACCTCCATACATCCCCGTTTCCATGCACAGCCCCCCAGGCCATAGGCACGCATCTCCACACGCACACCCCACCTGCCACCATCTCTGGGGCACGCTGTCACACCCCTCACTTCACCTCCTGGCTCTGGTCACCCAGCCAGGTAGGAAAAGCCTAAGCTCCATTGGCCCCTCTCCCAGACCACTCTAGCCTTACAGGTTCATTCTGATGGCCTTTTGCTCAATTCCTACCCAGGGAGAAACTCAAGGCCTGGGATGCTGAGGTCCCACTTCAAGGTCAAAGATGGGGAGCTGGGAAAGACTCTGTCTTTGGTCTCCCTGACTTTACTGTTAGCACAGCTGCATGCCTGCTGGGCTCCCAAGGTCAGTTCTGTAAATGGCTCTCTCTAGCCCACAAGCCCTTGAAACAGCCTCACCAGCCCCTGGAGATCTGCGCACACTGAGGCTCTTCCTAGGAAGATGGCTTTGCCCAAAGACATTCTATTGCAAATCCATGCCAGTGTTCCTCCGTGGGTATCACCCCAGCGCTGGGGAGAACAATTCTCTGTTGTGGGGATAAAACTGAGCATTCTTGAGCACTCACTAAATGTCCATAGGGCCCACAGGCATTGGGACCACCAAAAATGTCCCCCTACAGTCCCTATTATGCCACCTCTGTTGAAAACTCCCAAACAAAAGCCATGGATAAGAAGCTTTAAGCATCAGAGCCAAGGTTTCTAATATTACAAAGACGAAAATAATTCCAAGGGGGAGGAGTGGGAAGAGAGAGAGAGAGCAAGAGTGAGTGAGAAAAAGTGCATGCGTGCGTGTGCATGTGTGTGAGTCTGTGTGTGCGTGTCTCCTAGGGATGGGACACAGAGGTGAGAACAGGGCAGACTTGGAACAATTCCTCCAATTACAATGCCTGGCCGCCTAGATCCCTTCCCAAGCCAAAAAGATTTTTTTAAACAAAAACTTGCCAAGCCCCACAACAATCCTGGGAGGTAGGTACGTATGATTACACCCACTTTAGAGATGGGAAAAGCTGAGCCTAGAGAAGATGTATGACCCACCTATCAGTCAACAGTAGACCCAGGAGTGGAGAGGGTGATGCTCTTCCCCCACGGCCCCCCTGCTCTGTACACCCTGGCCTCGTCTGAAGAGAGTCAGAGGAGCCCAGGCGATTCAGCTCATTCAAATGTTAGCACTGGGAAAGGGGGAAGAAAGCAGTTTTCAGGAAGGTAGCCACAAGTTTTTCAAGTGGCTGGTAGCTCCAGTCTGTCTGCTCCCAAACGGGGAAAATCTGCGCCTGAGCCTAAGGTTCTGGGAGGGACAAGGATGGGAGCCCTGGAGGCAGATCAGGGTGGGACCCTGCAAACCCATCAGGAGGGGTGAGGGCCTCAGCCAGGGACCTGCCGGAGCTGCTGCCCCTCAGTCTCCTCTACCTCCACCCTGCGGGAAGCCTGCAGCCACTTTTTGACAGGGAGAATCCTGAGGCAGTCCCCATAACCTCTGGGAAAGGGGGCTACTGCCCTCCCATCCGTCCCAGGCCCGGGGGCAGAGTGTCAGCGAGCGAGCCAGCAGGAGCAGATGGTGGGGGCCTCTGTTATCACCGCAGGGCTCACTTCATCCCCCCCCCCCCCCCCCCCCCCCCCGGGGACACCACCACCGCATTCCCTATCGGGGAGCCCGACAGCTCCAAGATTCCATCACTGTCCAGGGGGCCATGGGTGGCACCACCCCAGCTCCCTGGCCCCCGGCATGGCCTTGGGGGAAGGCAGGTTGGGGACCCCTCCGAGTGGCACACCAGGGCCGGCTGTCACACACAGGCTGGAGAGGGGACGGAGGGGATGAGCCAGGACACAAGGAGCTAAGGCACAGTCCAGCCCCACACGCGGGGAGTGCAAACCCGTTCTCAGGAAAGCAAAGGAAGACTGAGCACCCTCTCCCTGCTCCTCCCCAACACTGGGGGTGGGGTGGGGGTGACACAGCTGAACAGGAAGCAGCCAGAAAACCCAAGGGCCCCCTCTTCTGAAGCAAGAGGATCCCTGAGGTGAAAGCAAGCCCTCGACCCCGGGTTGGAGGTGAACAACCCTGGGCCAGGGGAGAAGGTATGATGGATGAGCATGGGCACAGGAGGCATGAACCCAAGGGAGGGGAGGGTTTGAGGGTACAACACCTCAAGCAAGATGACCCCACCTGCTGCATCAGGGGAAGAGGCAAGCTCAGGAGTTTCCAGGGGTGGCAATGGGCCGGCCATGCCAAGGAAAAGGGGCAGCCAGCACTGGTGGGGCTGGGGTGGGCCTCCCAGGGGCCGAGGGGCCCTGGACATGGGCTCGCCCACCTCTGCGGTCCTGGTTCCCCAAGAAGAAATGCTAGGAAAGGCATAGGCAGTGCCCCAGTGCTCCAGGAAGGCTGGAGGGTCCTCACAAGCCCCTCAGGAACTCAGAGATCAGAGGAGCAGGCTAGGGGGGCCGAGACCCCAAGACCAAGATAGCCAGCCCTAGTTGGGAGGGTTCACAGACTCCAAGCGGGGGGGGGGGGGGAGGGGGGGGGGGTGGGGGGGGGGGCTGCCAGACGGCTTGTGGCAGGGGGGAGGGAAGCGCCTTACTAGAGGGACCTGGGGGATCAGGTATCCAGCAAAGCCTCTCACTATAGGCCCCCCTCCCCCCTCCAGCAGGCTCCCACCCCAGATCCTGTACAGAGTCCTCTAGGCCACATCCACCACCAAAAGGGTCAGATCTCCACACTATTATTCGCTGGCGTCCAGCTATTAGGGCAAGCCGTGCTGATCCCCTCAAGCCTCTCTTAAAAGAGAAATCTGGAGGAAAACCAAAGTATTGCTCATACAGGGTGAGGAGACTAAAGAAAACCCCAGGTACCCCAGGTATCAGGGGACCCACCCTCCACACCACCCAGCCCTCCTTTCCTTTCCTGAACTCTCCACAGGCCCCCTCCCCTGGCCACCCCTCATCCCTGGGGAGCCTTGGCTGGGAGGGAGCGGGCAGGCTAGGCAGGACCCCAGTTTCTCCCCAGAAAGACTACAGTTGGAGCCAAGCAGCAGGTGTCTCAGGCACGTGGTTCACGGACGTGGCTCAAGCATCAGTTCTTCATCAGCAGGTGAGGCCCGAGCGGCTGCTTGGCCCCCAGGAGGGGCTCACACTTTGGTTGGTTGTTTCTCTTCTGCCTTAGAGCCAGGCAACCCATTCTCTGTGTTATCGTTCCCTGAGGAACTCACGAGGCACTCCTTCCTGGAGAGGGAGAGAGGAGGAGAGGGGCCAGAGTAAGGGTTCGACTGTGGACAGGAGCCTGGGCCCCGCGGCCAGGCCCGCGCCCTCTCCCAAAGGTGGCAAGAGGTCAAGTCACCCAACCTCTCTGGGCCTCGGCTTCCTCATCTATAAAATAGATGTGACGATAACACCTTCTTCGTGCGGGTGCCGTGAGGCATCAGTGAGCACCTAGAGCAGTGCCTGGCACGCAGACAGGACACAAGACCCACCATCACCTAGTCGTCCCAGCGTGGCAGAAGGCAAGGGCACCAACCAGGTGCTAGTCGCAGGGATCAGTGCTCAGGGGAGGCGAAACCAGGTTAATTCCCAGGCTGTGCCAACCCAAGGGGAAGGGTGCGGGCAGCAGGTAGTATGTGCAAGGGCAAAGAGCTCCTCCCCCAGACCCCAGGAGGCCCCTCCTCTCTGAGCTGGCTGTGACAGGAGGGAGGAGAGTGCTCACCACAGAGGTTTTGGCAGCAAGGAAGGCAGGTGTGGGCAGGGTGTGGTGGGACGGGGGAGACAGCAGCAGGAAGGAGGGATGGTTACCTGGGAAGACACCCCCCGGGGAGGTTCACCACCCTGACTGCAGGGAGAGGGACATGCTCCGGAGTGAGTATGGCCCACCTCACCGCCAGCACCCACGCTGTGCAGGGCTCTCCGGGGCTACATCACTCTGAGCTTTCTGCTCGGGAAAACTTCCGAGCCTGTTTCACGGCCGCTGTGGCTAAACTATCTCAGCCTCACCCTGGACTTGTGTAGCCGGCTTTGAGGCCTTCAGGAAGGACTTACTATTTTGTCCTCATCGATTTTGTCTTGCAAAATTTAGTCCACAGCTCCAGCCTTTGAGCTCCTCCTAGATCCCAATTTTGCTCTCCAACATAGTCACTAGGTTCCTGAAAACCTGATATCATTCCTGGCGTAATTCAAATCTTAATAACAATGAATAAGCAGAGCCCTGTGGCACACCACTAAAGACCTCTACTCAGATGGATCTACCTATTGATCGATCGATCAATCGATCGCCATACCTAAGGTATAGTCAACCCAGGCCCTGCGCTCACCAAGGCCAGACCCTTTCTTCCAAAGCCCTCTGATCATGCCAGGCCCTGAAAGCCCTCACGAGCTCCACCGCACCCAAGAAGAAAGCCAGTCTCAACCCGGACTCCCAGGTCCCCAGGGAGATTCCCCCCAGTGCCCTCTGCAGGCCTGTTCTCTCCTTCCCCACCACTGCTCCCCCTACTCTCTCAACCAACAGAACACCTTGTTCTCCAGACACATGTCTCTTCCTAGACTCTCTGCCTCTGCTCTCAGCAGTTCTGCAACGCCCTTCTCCTCACCCTCCCCAGGGCTTACATTAGATCCATCTTGCAAGGCCTACCACAAACGTCCTTTGGCCAAAACCCCTTCCCTAGCATTCTACCTTCTTTGGAGCGCCTGGAGCGTTCTATTGCACCTCTTTGCTCGAACCCATCCTAGCTCTACCTTTTCTTACATTTATTTGCATACACACCCTGTCTTCTTTACTTAAGGGCAGAATCTCATTCCTTCCAGAATTTCCTACAGCACCTGGTATGGTGCCTTGCACACACTACCTCAAAAATAGCCATCAAATGAAAGAAGGAATGAATGAACTCTGGCTATACTCCCCAAATCAGTAGGATACGGTGAAAGTGGTTAAAGCTTTGAAGCCAAACCAGTCAGGATGCTAATCTCAGACCCATCACTTTCTAGCTGTGTGGCCCTGGGCAAGCCCCGTCACCACTCTGAGCCTCACCTTGCTCAACTGTAAAATAAAAATTGTGGCTATTATATAAACACCTGGCAGAGTACCTAACGCGTGGTAGGCATTCGATGAATGACAAGAGGTGTTATCATCCGTAGCCATCTCCTGAGCCACCAGTGCCCTAGCAAGAAAACGTTTGGTCTGCCTTGTCCTTGATGAGCCATGGCGGCTCCCGAGGATCACTGTTTTCTTTTCTAGGTGCTTTTAAACCACAGGGTGGATAATCTGCTCTCCAATCTGCTAACCATCAATAGCAAAACTGGTTGTTAAAAACAGAATCTGGTCTAACTCCATGCCCCTGGCCCCTCTCAAAATCTCCAAAACCCTGACCACAACGCAGGGAGACAATCCCAGAATTCTTCATCTCAGCCAATGCCTCCCACTTCTCCACCCCCTGTGCTGTCCCCTTAATATCCCCCTGCTTTTGGCTTCCCTCCCCTCTTACCAGCACAATTTTTGTCCTTTCCAGCCTAATTCCCTCTTCTCAACAAAGCAGAATGATGGGAACAGAAACGGAGCAGCATCCCTTCCCCCTTGAATCTCCCTGCCGCTGTCCCCCTCTCGGCTCCAATGCCTCCTCTCATCTTTCCTGCTGATAATACAACTTCCAGGGGCGCCTGGGTGGCTCAGTCCGTTGAGCGTCTGCCTTCGGCTCAGGTGGAATGCAGACTGACCTGGGGTCCTGGGATCCAGCCCGAATTGAGTTCCCTGCCCAGCGGGGAGTCTGCTTCTCCCTCTCTTTGCCCTTCCCCCTACTCATACGTGCTCTCTCTCTCTCTCTCTCTCTCAAATAAATAAATAAAATCTTAAAAAAAAAAAATACAACTTCCAAACACCTTTTTACATTCATTCCTGCTTCTCTGGAGCCTGACACAGTTCTGGCAATTCTGGGCCTGGAGCGAGTACTGTCTCTACCTCCCCTTAGAGCTGTCTATCTCAAACCTGAGCTGGCCCTGGGGCTTCTGGGGAGCCCCTATCCGCCTTTTTAGATTTTCTTTAGTTTCCCCTAGGTGAACTTCCAGAATCTCACAGTAAGACTCCCATCTCTCTAGAAGGGTCTTCCCATTTTAGAGTTTCTGTACATGGAATCTTGTCTTTCCTATGATGAAAAAAAAACAAGCCATCTAAATCCCTTGGTAGGACTTAGGTTGGGGAGGTACAAATGGAAAGAGAGAAGCTAATGGGATGGATTAGGAAGCCGGATAAGGAAGAGCAAGTTCATATACTCAGGGAACTCGGTGTGCTCAATAAATATGTACTGGGAGGGAGAGGAAGAAGGACTGGGAGACAGAGCCCCTCAGGCTGTTTCCTAAGAGTAGTAGGAGTGGGAAGAGAGGATGAGATGAGGGGACGGATGGGAGGATGAAGGCGGATGGGGGCAGATGACGGTGGAATGAGATGATGCTGGGAGCACCCGCAACACGAGATGGGAGTGGGTGGTGGGCCGGTGGGAGGACAGGAGCGTGCAATGGAGTCAACTCACTTCTTCTCCTGAGTCTTCTTGATGATGAAGGCAATGAACTTCTTGACCAGCAGGATGAGGATGAGGAGCCCGATGACCCCACCCACGACTCCCAGGATGATGAGGGTCACCGTGTTGTCCACTTCTTCCACTGTATGGCCAGAGCAGGGAGAGACGGGGGTGGGCGACGGGGGCAGGAGATGCCTGGAGCCCAGCACAATGGCAGCCCGATGGCTACAGCCCTCCAACCCTGGCATCTGGGACGTGCCCACTCCCACCCAGCCCCCCGCCCTCCCCAGGCCTTGCAGCAGGAAGCGGAAGCTGAAACATGGCGTCTACCAGGCTAAGGCACAACACAAAGAGTTCCTTCCCCCCCACCCCCTCCACACACATACCCTCCCACGGACACACAGTTCTGGAATAATTCAGACTCAGGGCCCTTAACCGTTTGACTTGGCCCCCCAAACTGCCACATTAAAAATTTCATTGCCTCTCGGGGCGCCTGGGTGGTTCAGTCGTTGGGCGTCTGCCTTCGGCTCAGGTCATGATCCCAGGGTCCTGGGATCGAGCCCCGCATCGGGCTCCCTGCTCGGCGGGAAGCCTGCTTCTCCCTCTCCCGCTCCCCCTGCTTGTGTTCCCTCTCTCACGATGTCTCTCTCTCTCTCTCTGTCAAATAAATGAATAAAATCTTAAAAAAAATAAAAAAGCTTTCAAACTTAAAAATGATGGAAAATGCTTTACAAAAAATTTCATTGCCTCTTTCTGGGCCTCCTTTGTCCACGCAGGAAAAATCAAGAATCTCCCTATAACAACTTTTATGTGGCAGGAAAACTTTGGAGCCAGGGCGTCTGGGTTTTAACTACAGGATCTCAGAGGTCACTAATGGGCTGGTAACCTTGAACTGGCCACTTAAACCTTTTCCCTCGGTTTCCTCATCAGAAAACTGAACTCCTAACTTCCAGAACCTGCTCCACTTACCATCTCCCCACCTCTGTTGAGAAAACTCCATCCTTCCAGCTGTTCTGACCAAAATCCTTAGAGTCATCCTTGACCCCTTCTCCAAACCCCACATTCAATCCACCTGAGAATCCTAATGGCCCTAACTTAAAAATTCCAGAATCTGATCTCTCAGTACCACACTGGCTCAAGACATCCCGGCCTGGATGTTTGTAGGAGCCTCCTAACTGGACTCCTCACTTCATAGTCTATTCTTGGCCCCGCAGAGAGCCTGTTCTGGGTTAACTCTTCTGCTCAGAGCTCTTCAGTGGCTCCCATCTACTTAGGCTAACAAGGCCCCACACAACACGGCTTAACCTGACTCATTTCTTGCTATTCGCCCTGCTCCAGCCACACTGGCCTCACTGATGTTCAAGTATCTGCCTCAGGGCCTTTGCACTTGCTATTCCCTCTGCCTGGACTATCTACCCAAAGACATCTTCATTGCTCCCCCAAATGTCCTTATTCTAGGTCACCTTTTCAGTGAGGCCTTCCTAGTGACACTGTTAGCACCCCCTCTCTCCCTCCGTATTTTGCTTTTTCCCTACAACACCAGCCATGTTCTCTTACACAACATCATTTTCTTCTTTGTTTTGTTTACTGCATATCTCCCCTGATGAGAAGGAAATCTCCGTAAGGGCAGGAATTTGTCTACCTTGTTCATGCACCTAGTAGGTGCCACATAAGTAGGTGCTCAACAAGTATTTGTTGACGAGATGAATGAAGGAATCTATAAAAATGGAGAAAAGATCCCTTCAAAGGGACGTGTGAGGGACAAAGTTGCGAAGGTAAGGTACAGCGCCTAACTCAGTGCTTGGCACCCCAAAATGCTCCATAAATGTTGGTCCCTTTCCCCTCCTCTTCCCTCCTGCAAAGGCTGAGCACAAAGTGAGATGACATCCAGACAGAGAGGAAGAGGTGACGCCATACACAGCCTAGACTCAGACGGCTCCAGGCCCAGAGCGAGCTGCCTGGGTGGCCTACGGCTCCACCCTCGGCACAGCCAACAGTGAACTCACGGGCGTCTCTCTCTCGCCAAGGACCCCACTTCATCCAGGAGAGCAGTGAGCCCCCAGGCACCCAAGAAATGCAGCACAAGCAGGACCCTAGAGCAGGTCCTTCCTTTTTTCTCTACGTCTATGCCTCCTTAGCCTTCCAGGCTCCCCGTCCAGGAAGCCCAGCATAACACCTCCAGCCTCTTCTCTAACCACCTCTAGTGTTGGGGGTCATGTGACCCCCTGGCTGCTCCCCACAGGCTTCTTCACTGCTCCCCTGTCCTACCTGTGGCCGATGACAATCCCCAGCTGGGGTTGAAGCTCCAGAGGGGAGCAGCCACTCTTACCAATCTCAGTTGCCTGTGGCTCTACATCTCTGTCCCTCTGTCAGTCCTCTGTTTAGCTGTCTTCTGCCCTACCCCGGACTGTAAATTCCTCAAGGAAGAACACTGGGGATCATTCACGTCACTTTTGGTGTGATGCCTGGCATTCGATCAACAGTTGCGAGGGGGATACACAAGAGTAGTAATCATCTGCACACACAGAGAACTTGCCCGCCACGAACCATCCTATGTCCCGTCCCTACTTCTCGCGAGCACCCTAGGATGATGCAGATTTTGCAGATGAGGAAAACCAGGCTCAGAGGGGCTAAGTGTGCATCATAAGCTATTCAGTGGCAGAACACGTATTGGAGCTACATTATCCGAGCTTCCAGATGTGACTCCAGTAACTTTTGAAAGCATAAAGCAAAAGAAAACACCCATGTGGTCCATTTTGCCATTGGGCTGAAATGTCATTTGACCCCACTGGGTGGGGTACCCCGCCGTGCTTCCCACTCCACTGCCCTTGTGCCAGCCCCCGCTGCTTACATTTATCGACGACTTGGAGGAAGATGGTGGCCTGGTGCTGAAAATTATTCTCCTTGGGGTTCTGCACATGACAGGTGTATTTGCCTGTGTCGCTGAATTCCAGGTTCCTCAGTAGAATGGAAATGTTATTCATCTTCTCCTTAGTGGAGCCCTCCAGAGTGATGCGATCATCATTTTTGAACTTCACCTTAGGGTCAGACTTTTCATTCTTCACCGTCCCGTCTATGAGCTATGGGGGGAAGGGGATGTGGAAGAGGTGGCCAAGAAAGAATCAGCATCCTCAAGGGTCACGGCATCACTCCAGCCCAGTCTTCGGGTGCCTCCCCGTCCAGGTCCAGAGAGAGCCTACAGCCAGAGGTACTCCCCCCACCTGGTTTCCTTCCAGCGCCGATAGCACTGCCTGTCTAACCTGAATTTCGCTTGCTTCAAGCTAAACCCATTTTCTGTCATTAAAATCTCCCTGGAACATAGCACAGCTTTTATCTTTTTCCTCATAAAAGCCTTTCACATCATGGCTCCAGCAATTATCACTCTCATTTCCCTCTGTCACCACCACCACCACCACCCACAGCCTTTGCTGACAACTTGTCCCCTGTCCATCTGAATTCTGGCCCTAGCACTGTCCACCGACGGCCCCGAGCCCAGTGTTTAGTCACATCCAGAGTTGGTCTCTTGTGGCTTCCTTATGTACACTTCGGGTCCCCTACGAGACTGCACAGTGAGTACTCACTAAACACCTGTCGACTGGTCCATCCCCACCTCCAACCCACAGCCCAGCCGAAGCTCCTGCATAAGAGCTTTCTCTTCCCTAGCTTCCTCTCCCTTCTTGCTAGGGCCAGGTCCCCAGCCCTTCTCCCGTTTGAACTCTTCCCATTTCTTTTCTCCAAGCCTTCCAAGGGTCTTTCACTCTCCTGTTTTTTAAATTAAATTATTTTTACACAAGCAATCCAAGTTCAGGCATTTCTTCAGACCAGACGAAGAACTCTAGCCAAGAACTCCAACAAGCCCCAAATTCTGGCAATACCATCTAAGCATCCCTCCCACTTAGATCCTTCTGGACAGGCTCTGGAAAGAATGCTAGGAGAAAGGATAACAAATGGTGGATTCCGGGGACCATCACAGTGAGGTCAGTCCAGAAGGGACCAGAGCAAGGGAACGGGAGGCAGGGGCAAGGTGCTAGGGAGAGTCTGAGCTGTCCTGTCCCTTCCCCCACTACTTACAGTCCTGAAGGTATCACTGGTGTTGTAGGACCACCAGAAGTGGAGGTCTTGGAAGCCAAAGCAGCTGGAGAAGGTGCAGGGCAGCAGGATCTCCGTGCCATTGACAGCATAGATGGTGGTGGCCTTTCCCACAGACACCTCCAGCGACAGGGACACCGGGAGCAGGAAGAGACCTGTGTGACAGTCGCCACCTCCCTTAAGAAAACCCCACCGGAATCTCCAGCCTGGAGCTCTGGAAGAGGACACTCGGGCAGGGAGGAGTGGTGGCCAGGCAGGGAGGTCGCTGTCACCCTGTGTATCAACTTCGGGAGGACGGTTCTCTCCAAAGAACACTGCCTGAGCCACCCGCCCTAACTGATTTCTCCCCTTGGCCTGGGCCAGGGAGCTGCCCGTGTGGCACTCGGAATGACCACCAGAGGTCACCCCAACCCAGGAAAACGAGGCCCTTGCCGCCAGGCCGCGCCCCTACCCCGCGGGCTCAGTCCCCGCAAGTGCCATCCCGCACCACCCCAAGTGCCGGACGGGCTCTGCCTGTTTGCAGTGGGAGTTTCCCTTAGGACGGTGCGCGGCCCCCCGGTACATTTCCCGGATTGGGGGTGGGGTGGGATGGGGACGGGGAGGCTGGAGCCAGGTCCCTCGCGGTGAAGAGAAAATGGGCAAACGCAGCCCGCCACACTGCACCGCGGCCTCCCACCCGCCCCAAGGGGCGGAGAGGCGGAGGGCCACCTCCCGCCCAGCCGTGCCTGGCCGGCCGGGTCCCACGCCCTCTGGCCACCGCCCGCGACCCTGGGACCAGGAGGGAGCCCAGGCCGGGATGGGACGGGGCGGCACCGTGCGGCGGCGAGCGCGACCGTAGGAGAGAAAGTGGGAGGGAGGGCGGGAGACACCGGCGGAGGCCGATTCCCGACCACAGGGACGCTCGAGAGCAGCGGCAGCATGAAGAGGGCGCAGGACCGCTGGCCCCTCCCGGCCCGCGCCCACACCCCGCAGCCACCTCTCCGGCCCACGTCCTGGGAACGTTCCTCGAGCGCCCTCCGCCCCCCTCCCCAGCTCTTCCCCTTCCCTACCCGCACCCCCACCGCACCACTGCCCTCGCACCCACTCCCCAGAACGTCATTACCACCCCCACCGCTTGGGCGAGTGGAAACCATCAGTCTCCACTCCTGGCCTCTGGGACACACACCACCCCCCCCACCCCCACCCCGCCCCCCGCCTTCACGAATCTTTGTAAGGGGCCCTGGCCCTCCTCCTGTCCTACAGAGTCCTGGAGGAGACCCCAATGTACCTCACCGTCGAGGGCAGGAGGGGCCTCAGAATAAGATGCCCAGGTGATGTCCTTGCCCTGAGGTGAAAGGGGCACCTGAGGTCTCAGAGAGAGTCCTACTCAGGTTCCCAGTGAAGCCCTTACTGAGCCCACTTGCCGCGGGCTGCAAGTGGGTAATCCCATTTCATTCCCACCCCACACCCGTAAGATGGGTATTAGCAATCCTACATTTTACAGATGGGAAACGTGAGGCTCGGAAGAGCAAAATGCCTTGCCCAAAGTTGTACAACTTCTAGGGGTTCTTGAAATCCGAACCCAGGTCTGACTCAAGAGCTGGTGGGCAGTTGAGAACAGCCACGTGGCTGCACTAATTCCTGTCCCAAAGTTGCCCTGATGTTTCCTCCCAGACTGCACCTGCTCTGAGCTACTTGCACCTCCAGCCAGGCGTTCCCAGAATGCCAGTGCTAGAGGCCCCAGACTGATGCCCACGGTACAGACAGGGCTACAAGGACTCACTTGTGCCGACTGGGTGTGCTGGCCGGGCCCCCCGAAGCCCCCCTCTCAGCCCAGGCCCGCTCTCGGCTCTGCAGGCAGTCCCCAGAATTGGTGTTGTTCCCAAGACAGCCAGGGTCATCTTTGTTTTAAAGGTCAACAACCTTGCTCTTTCTCCCATCCTCACCCCCAAGGAAGGACCTCTTTTGTCTACCTTGATCCCTTCATGGCCCCTAACCAGTTTCCTCTTGCTTTGCTCCCCTAAGCAGTGCTTTTTAAATGACAGAGAAGGCTCTGAGGAGAGCTGGCTGCCCTGCTTCCTGCCCTAGGGGCTCCCCTCAGCTTCTTCACATCACCCTAGCTTCTGAAGGCAAAGTGGAGCGCTCTTACCTCAAAAAGTCAGAAAGAACACCCAGTATTCCGGTGACCCATCATGACCCCTGCCACCGGCCATAATAGCTGATAGGCCCATTTGATCCTCACCCCCATCCTCTGAGTGACATACTATTATAGGTCCCTATTGCAGATGAGACAACAGAGCACAGAGAAGTTAAGTAACTCACCCAGGGCCACAGAGTAAATGGTGAAGCTGGGACTGAGCACTTCCTCTAAGAGAGGACAGGTATTTTATATACACTGTCTCAATCCTCATCCTAATCCTGTGAGGTGGTTATTATTTTTATCCTCAATGTACAAAATGAAGAAAGAGACTCAGAGAAATTAACTTGCTCAAGGCCACACACCCCCAGTGAGTGGAATAAGTCGCATTTGCACTGTCGAGGCTAGCTCTGCCTAGCACTCCTGGCTTGCCTTTTACCTCTGCTCCTGTCCTGCAGCACACCTCCCCCAGAGGTCTAGGGACAGGGGCCAGACAGGAGAGTCCACCCTCCAGCCTAGATGATGTAGGAGACCCCGGCTCTGCTTCCCACCCTCATTGTCCCTCCAAACTAAGGAACGGAGTACGGAGCTATAACAGGAAAGGCCCCAGGAGAAGCTTCCTGATAACCACAGGCCTCCCTCGGGGGCCCAAGCTCCAAGGAGCACCATAGCTCCAGCCTCTGGCACTCACTGGTGCCCCTTGCCCAGAAACCTGGCTCTTGGGGCAGATTGGGGAACTCAAGTCAGGGGTCAAATCACCTCCCTGACCCTAGCCAGAAAGGGATATCCAAGAGCACCAAAGAGACACACCAAAAGTAAAATCTTTCAAACTGCTTTAAATAGGTAGAAGCAAAAAAAGAGCAAAAGAACAGTCCAGAACAGAGGACAGACTACTTCTTTAAGGTCCAGCTCATGACAATGCACATTTCTCCTGATTAGTGTGTGCCTGTGTGGATGACTTAACTAGTACACTCAGGACTCCCACAGTGAAACACCACCAATTCTCACCATAGCCTGGAGGGGACAAAGGAAAGGCACAGAGGCGGTCACGGAAAAGTCCAGAGCCCTGCCCAAGTTAAGGCATCAGAGAGGGGTGGGCAAGCCCGGCCTCCGCACTGCACATCCTCCCAGCAATCTGGAAGCCTTGTCCACGATATCTGAGAGGCTTGGGCAGAGGAAAGCCCCGGGGGACCTGTTTCCCATGCTCTCTCATCTGTGAGACTGTGCTAGGGGGAGAGGAGGGAGCAAGGGCAGGTGTTGATCCACTAGAGGCCCCCAGAGGAGAGCTTCAAAAGGATGGCCAGGCCAGAAGCAGGCTGGTCAGCAGGTGCAAGGCAGGCCCCCCGCTCTGCCTGCTGAACTTGGGCAAGTCAGGGATGCCACATCCTACCCGAATGCCCCCAAAACTAGGATGGTTGTCTTTCCTAGCTCCTGAGCTTGGTATAAAGCCAAAACACAAGCTTACAAAACACAAGAGGGGCTTCAGTGAGCCCATCGCTCTGACCGAAGCACCCTGCAGGTAGAGGAGGATGGTGTTTGGAAGGAGGGAAGGGGATAGGTCTGGCCTTCATCACAGGTCTGGAAGTAACCAGGGCACCCCTTGCTTAATGACCAGTGTCAGCTGAGGATGTCTCGGGCCATTCACACATTTTGTACTCCCACCCTGTACCACCTCATGGAGGTCTTTCTTCCCATGCCGTTTCCCTGGAGTAAAGAAGCTGCTTAGAATTTCAACTGTTTAGAATTTCAGTGAGTGCACATGTGTATCTGGGATTAGGGGCCTCTTTCTGGCATCATGGGATTGATGAACAAGTCCCCATGAATCCCGTGGAATTCCACTCCGAGCCCCAGAGCTTTGCCTCCGCTCACTGAAAGGCCCTAACCAGCTAGCTGGCAACTCTCTGAAGCCTCCGCCCCCCTCCCATCCTCCCTTCAGGGGTTTGTCTGAGGACTGACTCGGCACTCCCAAGTTTTACTAAAGTAATAAAAGTACTCAGCATGTGCAAATCCTATTATTAAATATTCACACCAGCCAGAATCTTCGGGACCCAGCAGACATTCCAAGGCAAATGCCGAGGCAGGAAATGGTCTGCCACCTTTTCCACATCCCAGGATCAGTCACACACACTCTCTCTCTCTCTCTCTCTCTCTCTCTGAGGGGAGGGAGGAAAAGAGGGGCAAGGTGGCCCAGACTCTAAGTTTAGCTCCAAGGGCTTGCCTGGCATGGCAGGCGGAAACAGGCTGACTGTAATAAGGAAGCTGACACTCTCTGGCCCCAGGGGAGTCAGACAGGCTCAAAGTTAGAGCTGAGAGGCAGAAAGTGGGCCGAGGCAGCGGGACAAGACCCCTCCTGGGGTGCAGGCTCTGGGGGCTGTGGGAGGCAGGGCTGGGCCAGCCAAGGCCCCTGGGCCCAGAGACAAAGGAAAGATTTCAGCTCCCTCTCCCTAGGCAACCTGCCTACTTCCTGCCCACCCCCAGGAGCTTTGCTGAGACGGAAGCATGCCCCTGAGAGACTACCGAATGCTCAACAAAACCAGCTTTGCCAACAAGCCCAAACAGTGTGCCTGGCCCTGCTCTTGCAAGCCACAGAATGGGTGCGTTGCTTTACGCAGGGATCCCCACACTCTCAGCAAGAGGGCGAGGTGGAAGAATCTGTGCCCAGGGGGTCCACCTTTCACACAGATCCCAGCAGGGGGCGGACAGGCAGAAGGGCTTTGGGATACCCCACAGGCCAACATCTCCAGAAAAAAAACAATCACGGGGCCAGATTCAAACGTGGGGCATCCCCCCTCCCAGTTTTCCCCTTTCCTGCGCTCTTCTTCGTGAACTCCCGACCTCCCCTTTCCTTTCCTTTTCTCTGAGCCAGTCTGAGCACCCTCTCCTTAATTGTGTTCTCATTAGACAAGCCCTTAATAAATACATACCAAGGGAAAGAGGGTTGCCCAACATGGTGCCCTCACAAGTGATAATTAAACACAGATCACAGCAATTAAGCAAATCAGGGAACAAGGAAGGGGTGGGCAGGACAGATATATTACCGGTTACAAGCTCAGGAAGGGACTGGCACCCACAGAAACCTCAGCTGCAACAAGGCAACCTTGGAAACTCTTCTCCACTGAAGAGAGGGTATCTTGGGAGGTTAGGAGAAATCTGTAGTCTCAGTCTGTTAGACTGAGTTTGACATGAGGCCAAGGGACTGGGGGGTGGAGGACCCCTAGAAGCCTACTGCTCTGTACCCAGTCTCCACATTTGTCTGGGCCCCCAAGCCTCTATACCTGCATGCCTCATCCCTCCCTCTGCTCATCTGCACAATCCTGCTAACCTTCCCTCTCAGCCAACTTCAGTCAACTGGGAGGCAAGTCAGCCTGACAGAGCCCAGGAGACCTGGATTCTGTCCCACTTGACCATCGATTGGCCATGTTGGGCGAGTCAGCTTCCCTCTCTGGACCCTGGTTCCTCATCCTTCGGGGAGCTCTGTGATATGGTTTCCAGACTTCCTGCCAGCTCTGATGCTACCAGGGAGCTTCTCCAGTTGACTGACCAGTCGCCTCTGCATCTCCCCAACCGGACTGAGAGCAAGGATGGCATCTGTGTCCCAAGCTCAAAGCAATGCCCCCTGCACGGGCTCAGCAATGGCCACCTGGGCAAGGTCCAAAGAGGGCCCCTGGTGGTATTCCCTCTGCAAACCAGAGGGGTAGGGAGCAGTGTAGGCAGGACCAGTTCTGGGGCCTGCAAGTCTCCCACCTAGAAATCTGCTCTTTCCTGGGCTCCCAGAGGGTAGCTCAGGGACTTGTCCAAACCTGCTCCAATGGACTCCTGCTCCTACCTGGTCTATCCAGCTGAACAGTCCTTGAAGGAGGTGGGGGATCCCCCCTGGAGAAAAGTACCGAGACTCTGCCCACAGTCCTCCCCCAGTGTATAGTGTGGTTTCCCACTGTGGTTCTGTGAATATTCTAATGGCCCAGGCACTGGCATCCCACCACCCAACTGGGCAGTAGGCAGAAGGGAAGTCAGAGGTGTTGATAAGTGGGCTGGATTAATGACTGCATGCATGTGAAGTCCCCAGTGAGCCCTACCCAAGCCATGGTTACAGTGGGAACCTGAGCTGATCAGAGACGGGACGGGGGGAGCGGGCATGCAGCGGTACTCTGCCCGCCCCCATGAAGAGGCACGTTAGACCTCAAGGAGGCACCAGCCTCATTAGGTCACTGTGAAACGAGCACACCTCTGTGCCTAAAGGACAGGAGAAAACACCAGTGTCCCCTCTCTAGCTGTGGGCATGTAACTAAATCAGTGGCTCCTGAGTGAGAGAAACACTCTATCCCCCTCCACTACCATGTGCCCAACGTGGCGGGTCTGCATACAATTTATTTACATCTGCAGAAACAGCAGCCACTGCCCTTATAAGCTCCGTCTCCCTGTTTGCAGCCTACAAATGCCTACATCATGTGCCCAGCCGGATGAGGGGAGCTGCCAAAAGCCAAATCTGACAAATATAAACAGGAAGACATGCAGGTGCCGAGATGGAGTCAGCTTACATTGAAATCCAGCTACGGTTTATGAGATTATATTCTGGACTAATATTATTCTCTAATCTCTTGGAGCTCGTCACTCAAAACCATCATGTACATATTAATAGATATTAAGACTCTGTTCCTTCTGTGGCCTCTGGATATATCTCCTCAGTCTTCATATTCATCCCAAAAATGAAGAGCTGAGAGCAAGTTAAACAGGGCCTCCCTGTGGAACCTCTTTGTAAGAAGAGAGACAAGATCCTTTCTAAAAGGGGGCTTGAGCGATCCTCCAAGTGCCTCCAACCCTCTCCAGTCCTTGGTGTGGAGCCTCAGGGAAGACAGTGGGCACTGGAGGAGATAGAGGGCAGAGGAGACAAACAGAAAAAGGGCCCAGGAGGAAGGGGAACCCCCCTCCGCCCCCCCTCCGCGCACCCCTCCCCACCCCCTCCAATTGGTGCATGCCCGATGCCTGGGCAACAAGCATCCAAGTTGCAAACAGCTCTGGGCTGGGGTTAGAAACCACCGTCCCAACACTCGTACGTGCGACCCCCTGGCGTCCCCTCCACCCAGGGCACAGACACCCTCCCCCAACATGCCTAAACCTCAGAACCCGGGAGACCCGTGCTGCAGCCCCGAGAGGCAGCTCCAGGAACCTGGAGCTGAAGGCGCCCGAGACAGCGAAGAACTAATCACGGGGCTGCCTCCGCTGGGGCCGGGGACGCGCGCGGTCCCCAGGGAGCACCGCCGTCCGACCCGGGCGGCGGGCAAGAAACTGGTGGCCGCGGTGCTCGTTCGGCACCATGCCGCACTCCAAAGCCCACCGGGTCCGAGGCACCTCTCTTCTAAGTGTCCCCTCCCCGGGCGGCGGCGGGGGAGGGTGGAGAAAGAGGAGAAGGGGTCAAGCCGGGGCTGCCTTACCCAAAAGCCCGGTGCCCAGCCATCTCGCCCGGGCTGCGCCTCGGCCCCCGGCCCCGGGCATGGTCGCGTTGTCTCCGGAGCGCGCCAGGGGCGCGGGGATGGGGTACGGGGCGCAGCGGCTGGCAGCCCGCGGTCTGCAGTGGGCGGCGAAGCCGCGGGGAGCTCTGCGCCGCGGGTCGGGGCTCGGGAAAGTTAGCGGGGAGAGCGCAAGAGCCGGGGGAGGGAGGGAGAGGTGGAGCCGGCTGCGGGAGCGGCGGCGGAGGGCACCGGCCGGAGAAGGAGGAGCGAGTGGAGGACGACGGCGACGGGCAGGAGCACCGGAGAGCGAGCGCAGAGGAGAGCGGCGCTGCGCCTCTGCTCTGGAAGCGCTCCAGCCGCAGGAGGGGCGGGGGCCGCCGCGGAGCCCGGGGCGCCCCCGCCCGCTGCGCACCCTGCCCGGCGCGCCCCGCCTCGCGGCCCCCGGGAGCCCCGGGAGCAGGCCGGGCACCCCACTCCCTGGCCAGCTCGGGCTGGGCGGCTGCGGCTTGGCACTGCAGGGCCACCCGCAGCCGCCCGCAGCATCCCAGGCGCTGAGCTGCCAATTTGGAGGATAGTTTCGGGAGGAGTAGATGCTCTTCGGGTGTTGGAAGGCTGTGTTGTTCTGCTTTGGGGACCACGAGGGGGGTAGCGACTCCCTCTCCCGGGGCCGCAAAGGGACCACTCGAACGTCCGCGGCTGGCCGCGCTGCAGCGGGTGAGAGGGTGCGGGCTTGCCCACTGCGGACCCCCGCCCCCCCACACACACACACACAGCCGGCGCCTGCGGCCCGCTGCCTTCGCCCCCGCGGCTCGGGGCTCCTGGAACAGAGCTTCCAGTTGCAAACTGCCCCCGCCCACCACCGCCAACCTCTCCCATTTCTTCGTGGACTCCTTGGAAATCGTGATGCTCCCAGCTAGGGAATCAGGCCAGACACTCCCTATCCGCGTCCCGCTACACCCTCCCGCCGTACCCCTACTTCTCATTTCTCCCACCTAGGCTGTGCCCCCTAGACTCTGCCCTTTCACCCTCCTCCAAGAGATTCCCTGGGCCTCCCTTTTGGGTTGGGGGGTGAAGGAGCCCAGGGCAGGCCTCCCTGCTTGGGGTTTACAGCCAGGTCGGAGGGCGGCAGTGAGACTGCTAACCAGCAATCCTTATCTAACCTTGAGGGGAAAGTGAGAAGTGCTATTTGGGGTGGTTTGGTAGCAAATGTCTGCTATCCTCCCTCTATCCTCCTCAGCAGCCCCTTGCCAACCATCCAGACCCCACTCCCCCCCCGTCACAGATCCTGTCTGCCTCCCTGCTCCTCCACCCCTTGGATGTCTGGAGGCTGGTTCAAACTCGAAAACCTGCTCCCGCTTCATGGCCTGACCCCTGCTACAGCCCCACCAATGCCTCACCGGCGCCCCCGCCTTCTTAACCTGGGGCCCCTGGTGGGCTTCAAAGAGATCAACCCTGAGGATGGCTGGGCAATGCTGAATGTCTGTTTTTACAGAAGAGAGGCCCATTGACGTTCCTGCGTGTAGCTGTGACAATGTTGCAGTAGCTCTGGGGTTAGGCGCTGGGGAGGCGAATCCCAGCTCCAGCATCTATTGCTGCACGACCTTGAGCAAGTTATGCAATCTTCTGCAGAAGCCTCATCTGTACTCTGGTGAAAGGAATGATACTTACCTCGTGAGATTGTTAAGAACAATGCCACACTTAGGCTGGACACAGGGAGGGGCCCTGGGCTCCTGAGCTTTCAAGGCCTCCCTCTGGCCCTCCTCTGGCAATAATCTACCCCCTGGAAGAGGGGTTCCCATGGGGCAGAAAGGGAGGGTGATCCATGCACCTCCCTCTTCTAGACCAGCCTCTGGGGATCCAGGACCCTGGAATTCCCTGCTCAGATGACTCAACCCTGAGCCAGCCTCTTCCCCAGGCCCCTCCTCCCAAGAGCCTGCCCAACGTGCACCCAGGCAGTGGGCAAGGTGCAGCTTTTTGCAGGGGCTGGGGAGTGGCTAGAAGTTGACACGCAGGTGGACCGTTCTCAGGCTTGCATGAGCGTGGGCCAGAGAGTGCTTTTTGGACCTGGTCTTCAAATTAAGGTCAAGGAAAAGTAACCAAGTCAGAGGATAATAGATAAACTTTAACACTGTTATCTTTTTTTTTAATGTTAGATAACACTTTGTTATCTTGATTTATGACTTATATTTAGGCACATGGGTAATTTCCATTTGTACACTTTCTCCAGGCCTCACAAGCTTCAGAAGTGGACCCGGCTATGAAGACCGAATGAGATATTACTGCATGTAAAAATGCTTAGCAGAGTGCTAGACAGAGAGTAAGCACGCGGTCCATTTTAGTTCTTATTCTCAAAGAGGTCTGTGGCCAAAAAAAAAAAAAAAAAAGCAAAAACGCTAAATCTCTTCCCATCTCCAGGCCCGCCCTCTCCTTCCCCCAGGAGGTCCTGGACACTAGATCAGCAGGGCCAGGCATCCACGCCTGTCCACTTTATTTTTACAGCAGGGCTCATGTTTCTCAGAGCAGGAGGCTGAGGTGAGAGAGGAGGTGAGCCAAAGGGAAGGCAAGTGACCCCTGCCCAGAGAGGGGGGAGGGGAGGAGACAGAGCTCTCTGGATATCTTTAGATCCCGTGTCCCCAGTGCCCTCCACCTTCCCCACTGCCTCACTGCTCACCCTGCTGAGAGCCCAAAGGATCCTTAGGAGACACACTTGCATCTCACAGATGAAGAACCAGGGCCCAGAGAGGTAGAATGCATAGCCCAAGGTCACAGAGAAAGTGTGTCTTAAAGCCAGGATTAGAACCTCCCCCACTCTGTGATTCCCTCCCTCCACCCTCAGCTTTCCTCTAAAGAACATCAGGAGGGTTCTACACCCCGGACAGAAAAAGTGCTTGAGAAATGCATTAGTGGCTAGAAGATTTCTACTTTTATAGAGCACTTGCCTCAAAAATTCTCAAAACCCTAGACTATTGATCCAGCTTGGAGGATCCTCCTGAGGGTGCTTGGGGAAAGGGTGACAGAAGGTCAGAGCTCCCCCTCTCCTACCCTTTGAGAACCATCTCTTTGAGGAACCCTCCCTGATTTAGCCCCCTTCGCCCCGCTCAAGAGCCCCCCCCCCCCCCCCCCCCGCCATCTATGGGTGGGGGTGCAACGGCATGCTGCAGCACCTGGCTCTTTGGTTCTTTTCCCTCCTTCTGCTGGAAGTCCCTTGAGGGCGGGGATGGTGGTTTGGACACAGCCCCCAGTGGCACCCTGACAGGTTTGATCCTTGGTGATGGGGAATGCACACTCAGGTCTTGGGCAGCCTGGCTCAGAAATACCTTGAAGAGCAAGTTTTCAGGGATGCAGGGAGGGAATGGGCCCCATGCCAAGGAGCTGTCAGGGAGCTGTCATTTGGGGGGGGGTGGGGAGGACGAGGAGATAGGGCCCAGATTTAAGGGGAAGGAGGCTGTCTCCTGAGAAGGGGGTCACATAGATTCTTTGAAACATTTAGTCCAGTAGTCCTCTCTGAGAGCAGGCGACCTGTCAGTTCCTGCCCTCCAAGGAGCTGGACTGGAGCCAGGAGGGAAAGCATGTGGACAGCGAGAGGGGGAGCCCCTGGGGGCAGAGCTCCGGGTCCCTGAGACCGGGAAATGCTCTCCCAAGGGAAGGCACTCACACCGGGGGCGGGGCGGTCCCACCTTCTACCAGGGCAGGTAGATGGAAGGCTCCGTCCCGCGACAGTTCTCAGAAAGGGGGCCACCAAGACCCCGGCAGGGGAGGGAAGGTAAGGGAATGCTCCTGCGAAGTCTCGAGGTCTCGGGAGCTATTTTAAGAGGAGTTCCTCCTAAGTAACAGGAGCCTGGCAGGGAGCCTCGCGTCTCTGGCTCCCACGCGTGCCCTTGCCCGCCTCCCCTCTCCGCCTCTTCCCCCACAAGCCCCCGCGCGGCTCCTGACCCTGTCCCCATCCCTGTCAGGGCCTTGCAGGTAACGGAGCTCACTGGCGGTTGTGCAGACTCAGCTCCAAGAGGCAAAGATCACGGGGCTCTGCCGGGAGCCCCCGCACCCCCCACCGCACAGTTCCTCTCCCACCGGCCTCTGATTTACACCAGGATCTGCTTCCACCACGTTCCCTTAGCTGCCCTCCCTCTGGTTATAAACAGAGCCCCAACCTCAGGACCGTGGAAATGCAGGAGAGAGTCTCCGCCTGCATGCCTGCATTAATTTAAAGTTAAATCCCCTCAAACCCTTCTGCCTCTCGGGTTGGGGTTGGGTGGCTGCCACCTGCACAAACTTTTGAGAGCCTCCTTCCTAGTGCACCCAGATCTGTTCCCTGCGTGTCCCTCCTCACGTTCCTTCCATCCGGCTCAGAGTGCCTGCCGGCCTGTCCCCAGCCACAGTCTCAGCATCCACTGAAGTTTGGCAGGTACCGAGGGAGTTAACAGGGACAGCATGCACCAAACCAGCCCACAGGCACGTGGTCTAGCAGTCC